AGTGATATATGATTGAGTATTATGGTTAGCACAGGAATACGGAATTAAGGTTGCATAGAGAAGTGTACTCGGGGTGGGGGGTGGGGGAAGGGACGTGGTAATTGTATACTAATGAAGGAATTTTTTTTTTCTCTCTTCGGAGGGGGAAGCGAGCTGGTGGGGAGGGGTGGGCAGGGAGAAAATTGTGGCAATGAATGAATGGAAATCCAAAACCTCTCTAAAATAAATAAATGAATGAATGAATGAGGAAGATCTGAAAGAGCATGAGATTATGCAGGGTGTTAGAAGTATCAGACTGCAGTGTGTCTAATTCCCAAGACTGAGCTCTTAGGCATGTGGAGAGCAATAGTAGGATTGGAATAGTGAAAGTAGTTGAGAGGCATGTTGGTGTAGACACTCATGTCATCTGTGAGCTGATTAGGTCATGGAAGGAGAAGTCCACGTCAGAGTTCACCATGAGGTTAGCGGCCAGCAGACTAGAAGGTGTGGCTTTTAGACATATACAGGAAACAAACAAACAAAAAACCAAGTTGATTTTTGGTTACGATATGTAAAGAAGGGGGAGGAATTTGATCTTAAATAAAATGCCCTTGAGCCACTTGGGGTACTGGCTCACAGACAGAAGCATCTATGCTGAGTCAGTCTGCTTCCACTCCCAATTCTGCCCCCAAATTCTTCATCACTTTCCATCCTCCCTTCTCCCACCATCTTTCTGAGCTCTGAACACCTCCTTCCTGCTGGTCTTCTCACAAATGTAACCCAGATGTGTGTTCTTACCTCAGGCAGGAAATCATCCCAATAGAATACTTCATCTCCTGAAAAGGGACCAGATCTCTACCTTCATGCCATGACCATTTCTAACTACATATACTGTTGGTTCAACCTAAAATGCATTACTCTTTAAACACAGAACCCCACTGCCATTAAGTTGGTTCTGACTCATAGTCGTATGCAAATTGATTGCCATAGATGTAAATCTTTACAGGAGGAGACTGTTCATATTTCTCCTTCACAGGAGCTGGTGGATTTGAACTACTGATCTTTCCATTAGCAGCTCATATAAACTACATACACTGTGCGTACTGATGAGGTGGATTGACTCAGTGACTGGGATAATGGGGGTAGGTGTGTCAGTCAAAGACAATAAGATTGGCACAGGATGGAGCACTTTTCAGAGGTGTTGTACATAGGGTCACTATGAGTCACAGGTAACTTGACAGCACATAACAACAACATAGAATATACACGTCATACACTATGCTCCCAGGGCTCTTGTGATTACAGACAGAGCAAAATAAACAAGTGCTTCTTTACTGACTTCTAGTTAGTTCTTTATCCTTCGTTGTTCTTGTTATAACGCCATCAAGTCATTTTGCGACTCATAGCAACCCTATGTACAAGAACCCTAAACCCTACTCTATCCTGTGCCTGCCTCATTGTCTCTGACACACCTACTCCTAATCACTGAATTGATCTATTTCATCAAGGGTCTTCCTTTCCTGCGCTGTCCCTCTACTCTCCCAAACGTGATGTCCCTCTCCAGGGACCAGTCCCTCCTTGCAACATGCCCAAAGTATGTCAGATGAAGCTTCAGAATCCTTGACTCCAAGGAACAGCCTGGCTTCACCCCCTCCAGGACAAACCTGTTTGTTCTCCTAGCAGTACATGGTATATTCTACACCTCTTCAGCACCACAGTTCAAAGGCATCAATTCTCTTTGTATCATCCCTAGTCACTGTCCAGCTCTCCAATGCATAGCACGCAATTGCAAAGACTATAGCCTGGATCAGGCACACCTTAGTCTCTAGCCTGAGTCTTCAGTACTCCGGAGAGGTCCCTGACAACCGACTTTCCCAATACAATTTGTCTCTTGATTTCCTGGCAGCTGATACCAAGACTGTTGACTGTGGAGCCAAGCAAACTAAAACTGTTAACTATCTCAACCTCTTCACTATCCATACTGATGCTGCCAATTGGCCCAGTGGTGAGAATCTGTTTTCTTGATGTTGAGCTTCAATCCATATTGAGTGCTGCAGTCCTTGACCTTCTGCAGCAAGCACTTCAGGTCCTCCTCAGTTTGAGCAAGCAGGGTTGTGTCATATGCATAACATAGGTTGTTGATGACTCTTCCACCAATCCTGATGCCACATTTCACCTCGTACAGCCCAGAGTCCTGGATGATCTGTTCTGCATACAGATTGAAAAGATATGGAGACAGAATATATCCCTGGCAGACTCCCTTCCCAATTTTAAACCATGCAGTGTCTCCTTGCTCTGTTCTGACAACTGCCTCTTGGTCCAAGTATAGGTTTCACATTAGCACAATCAAATGTTCTGGAATTCCCATTCTTCTCACAGTGAGCCATAGTTTGTTGTGATCCACACAGTCAAAGCCTTTGCATAGTCTATGAAGCACAGATAGACATTCCTCTGGCACTCTCTGCTTTCTGACAAGGTCCATCTAACATTAGCTGTAATATCCCTAGTACCACGACCTCTTCTAAACCCAGCCTGCACATCTGGAAGTTCTCTGTTGACATATTGCTCCAATCGTTTTTGGATCATTTTCAGCAGAATCTTGTTTGCATGTGATATTAATGATATTGTTCAATAGTTTCCACACTCTGTCGGGTCACCTTTCTTTGGAATGGGAACAAATATTGATCTCTTCCAGTCAGTTGGCCAGCTGGCTGTCCTCTAGATTTCTTGGCACAACTTAGTGAGCACATCCAGAGCAGCGTCTGTTTGTTGAAATATGTCAATTGGTATGTCGTTAACTCCTGGAGCCTTGATTTTTGCCAGTTCTTTCAGAGCTACTTGAACTTCCTCCTTCATCACCACAGGCTCTTGCTCATACTTTATTTCATGAATTCTTCTGTGTCAGTCAATTCCTTCTACCGTTAGAGTGACTCTGTATACTCCTTCCATCTTCTTTTAATGCTTCTTGGATCATTTAACACTCTATTCAAAAAAGGATCCTTAAGTATTGCCACTCATGAATTGAATTTGTTTTTCAGTTCCTTCAGCTTAAGAAACACTGAGTGAGTTCGGCCCTTTTGATTTTCTGATTCCAGCTCTCTGCACATTTCATTATAGTATCTTGCTTTGTTGTCCTAAGCTGCACTTTGAAATTTTCTGTTCAGCTCTTTAATTTCTTGGTTTCTGCCTTTAGCTTTGGCTTCTTGGTTCTCTTTATCCTTTAGGGGGGGAAATATATCCTTGATTATCATTTAGTATTTATCAACAGATTTGTTAATTTTTTCAATTCACAAAACCTGTACTGGGCCTTGTTGGAATCAAGGAGCTTCATATTTAGGTGGGGAACTGGTACAGAAAAGCCACTAAATGCATTCATTTTATTGCAAGAACATATTATAGGGACATTTGTGGTTTCTCTAGACCTTTTCAGACTTAATAACAGAATCAGTTTTCCTCTTTGTTCTGATTTTCTTTATTTTTCCCATGTTTACTTTCCCTTTTTTCCCTACCCTCTCGGCTGTTTCCCTCATTTCTGATTTCCTGTTTTATAAGTAAACTTGTGAGAGGCAGTCTGCTGCAATCTACGAAGCTGGACTGGTCAGAGCAGAAAAATCTCTTGCCATTGAGTCAACTCCAACTCATAATAGGACAGAGCAGAGCTGTCTCACACAATCTTCGCGGCTGTAGCCATCATTTCCCCCCCTGTGGAGCTGCTAGTGTATTTGAACCATTAGCAGTCAAGTTTATAACCACTGTCCCAGAAGGATTCCTCACCATCAGGGGAGCCCAGCGTTAGGCTTCTGAGTGACTTTGAACCCCCTGAAGTACTTTATCACATATCTGCTCTGTATGCGTATTTCTAGGAAGAGTGTCTAATTTCCATCAGACTCTCGAAGTAATTACTTTCTTCCCCCAAAAGACAAGCACTACTGCTCTGGAATCCTGTTGGTTGGAGTCATTAAACCATAAGTGTGACTTTGATTCTCCCTGAAGAGAGCCAAGGTATCTGAGAATTAGCCAGACACCAAAAAGAAAATTCTTCTCAACATAATGTGGCGATTGCATTACTCATCAGTCACTAACACCTGCAGTTTAGTTCTGAGTTAAAGTATATTAAGTTGTGATGATTTTCTGATAGTGACATGCTGTGTGGGGTGGGTGGGTAATTCGCAGATTGCAATATTAAACATGTGCTTCCCCAGGTCACAGAACTGTCAACTGAGACTAAGAAGGGTGAGACCATCAAGATGATTGTCACACTGACAAGGGAGCTGCCGTCTAGCTCGCCCGTGTGCACCCAGGTGTTCAACATCATCTTCAAAAAGTAAGACTCTCAAATGTGCATTTAATTGAAGCTGACAATGCCATTGACGCTCTAAAACTTGGGTATTAAAATCATCAACAGTGTTGTAGCCACATGTGCCAACAAGAATGCCCTCTGTAGGGAAATTTTTCCTTTTTAACATCACAGTAACACTATCATGAGCTTGTGCAGGGAAGGAAAACACAGCCCTTCATTGTCACTCACTGGTGGGAAACAGATATTGTTATCAGTATTGTCCAAGCTGATCCAAGGAATCCCAGACTTATTCCGACTTTCTGGAATCAGCAAAGGTGCCTTTCCCTTTTTCTCAACTCTCTAACCTGATTTAAAGTTTGTTATGTTTGTGTTATGAAAGGCAGTAGTGGCTCAGAGGCACAAGTCTTACCTTCTATGCAGAAGATTCTTGTTCAATACTTTGCCTGTTCACCTTATATGTAAACACTACCCTCTGTTACTGAAAATGTCTGCATTGCTCAGCTGCTGAAACCCATAGTACTGAACAGGTTCTAACAGAGCCTTCAGACGTAGAGAGATGATGAGGAAAGACCTGGTGATCTGCTTCTGAAAGCCATCCAGTGAAAAGTCTACAGCTTACACAAGTCCTGTCTGCAGCTGGTCACAGGGGTGGCACAGGCATGGGCAGTGATTTGTTGCACTGTGTCTGGTGCTGCAAAGGTGAAGGTAGAGGAGGACACTGTAACAAAAGGTTTGAGTCATTGGACAGAAAGATCTATTTTGCTTTTATCTCATTGACTTTGACTGTGAAAAGACTTGATCATTTTCTGTGTTCTCCACGATAGCCTCTTCTTTCCCTGCCTACATTCTTGTGTCGGAACAGGGAGGTGGCCAATAATAAGGGTTCTGATGATTCCCTAACCAGTGTGAGGATCATTTGCTTTAATGCTATATTGGGGGACTCTCTGGACCCTGAATCCACCTTGTCAAGTAGGATTTCACAGGTTGGACGTGGCAATCTGCTTTTTTAGCAAACCTTCAAGATAGCACGTGGAAGATGCTGATTTGACCACTATTGGGGAGTCTGTGAAAGAGAGAAGGACCCTTAGTGAGATGGGTTGGCACGGTGATGACTGGGACAGTGAGCTTGCTCCTGGTGGAGACCATGAGGATGGGGCACCTAACAACGATAGAGAATTCTTAAGTCATTTAAATGTGAGTGCTTTGTTGAAGAGAACAGGGACTTTTAGAGGTTGCTGGGTAAGGCACATCAGGAACTTCCTACACTCAGTTTCCTAGTTCTGGCCTAACGTCTTTTGATTGTCTCTGGCCTCAGCTCTGTGTTCTATAACCAGTGCATTAGAAGCAGAATGCCCTCCTGAGAAAGAATTGTTTTAAATCAGCCAAAATTTTGAACATGGATTTTGTTTACAAAGCTCTTTCATTGGAGTTTTTTGGTTTTGTTTCTGCTGTTTTATTGTTGTGTTTTTTGGGGGGTTGTTTGGTTTTGGGTTGGTTTTTTTTGGTGGGTTTTTTCCACTTAATCCTCTTGTGAGACATATTATCATTAAAACCAACGTTTTTCACGTATGAAGGCTGAGGCTCAGTGCTTGGACCCAAAGTCACACAGCTGGAATTCTCATTTTCGGACTTGAAGTTCCCTACTTATCCCGCTGTTTGCCTGATAGCCTCATATTGGCCATGCCTCAGTTTCCACAGCGACCGAGATTAGCTGCCAAAGAAGCAGCAGTGATATTTGGTACATTTTAGGAGTTTGAGGAGCTTAATTAAAAACAGATATTTAAAAAAAAATAAAACAAACCAAAAAAACCCAGATATTTCTTCTTAAAATACAACAGAATCCAAAAGAAACTTCAATCTTGACTTGCCTCACCCATCCAAGTTCACCAGAATGTGACAGCCACAGGTATTCATTGGTTAGTAACCACACAACTTCTTTATATTTAGATACAGATAGGTAATTTCAGTTGTGTCATTCTGAAATATATTGAGACACTGCAATTATACCTACTTGTTATAGTATCTAAGCTGTGCGTGCTATAAGAATGATAGTTCTGTAATTTCCATGTGTTTTTATCATTATCACCATTGGTATAAACTTGCACATTATCATTAACTGATCTTTATCAAAATTTCAAATTACATATATTTACAGGATTTTGAAAAAGTTATCCATGTACCAAATTGGAAGAAACTACTATAATCCTTCAGAGCCAGTGGAAATTTCCCAGCACAAGTAGGTTTATTTATGTTTTCTGTTACTCTGAAATTGTTCTAATTCGAACAACATAATTTACAATGCAATTAATGTCCTATTGTGCCTCCTATGAGAGACTCCACAGTATGAAATGTAATGGATTTGTTTATAATTTTCAAGTCTTTCCCCCCCCCCAGAGTGGTAAATATGAAGCTAGCAGCCTAGTTTCATTTTTCTTTTTTTTAAAAAAATAGTGTGCTAGGTCATCATCCTAAGTCCTTGAAATAACTCAGAAATAGCCTTTTTGAGTACGACAAGTAATCATAAAAGTCAAATAAACAGTATTAGGCTGTAACACATAGTTACTGTTCTTATGTCTTGCTGAAAGGCACTTAGCATAGGCAGGGCGTTTAAATAAGAAATCAACTGTCAGCAGAGAAGCCAACCTAACTCATCTAGTGAAAGATAGAACTATGAGGAGCATTCATAGAATTTCACCCTAAGCCGGGAATTGAATGCTTCAGGTAAGGTGGCCAGGTGACACCTGAAATGGACTATTGACCACTCATCTTTCCAAAGTCTAAAGAGAAGACCAAAGTAGTCCAAAGTGTCATTCTGCCCCCCCCCCCTTCTTTTTGCTATTGGGTGAGTAACCTTCCTTTGCATTTCTGAGGCTGTAAATCCAACGGGAGGAGATTGTCCATCTTTCTCCTTGGAGCTGCTGATGGATTCAAACCATTGGAGAGGCTCAACTTTCGGGTTAGCAGCACATATATACAAAGGTAAAAGGGTCTGAAAATACATTAGACAAACAACAGGTCCTTCCCACCACTTGCACTAATTGAAATAAAGATGGTTCCTCATTAGCAAACATTTTATTAGCAGATCTGGAAGGCACTGAGATAGTTCTCTAAGTCTGCCTCATCACCTCCCCTATGAGAGTTTTTATACCATTGTCAACTCTTAATCTATTTGACATATTATCTAGTCTTCAAAGTTGCAAGGTGTTCCATCTGGAAAGAAAATTCACATTTTATTAAGAAAATAGTGCCCAGGGCCTACAAACAGTGCCGAAGACTCTAATTCATTTGACTTGTTATTACCTCCCTTCCCAGTTAATGGGCTCCTTATTTGAGAAAGCTGTTTACCTTTCCTGAGACAAATGGTGCTTTTTATCTCAGTACAGGATCCCTTTACTTTTCCAGGCAGTAACATTTTGACCAGCATATGAGATCATAATCTTAAATTAGGATTTTAATTGCCCCACATAAAACTATTTACAACATTAGCTTAACTAATTTACGGGAGTATAGACACAGAGAAGTTAAAACATGGGAATAGTGATAAGAAGGCATAACAAGATGATAAATCTTACTACAAAAAAAGTTAACCAGTAAGAGAGGCTGCAACTCAAAATGTAAAATACCAAACTCCATTAAAAATTCATCTATTACTGGAATGTAGACACTTTCATGAATTTTATCTTATCATTTACCTCTCCACCTGGATTAGAAATACTCAGTTGTGTAAGGGAAAAAAACCAAACCAAACACATGTTCTCTTCAAAAGTTACAAGGTGGAGTTAAAGCTGAAACAAGAGTCTTTTTTCTAAAAATTACTAAAAGAAACTCTCTTGTACTCTTCTTATGAACCAGCCAGGACCACTCCTTAGTGCCGCTAATTCAAAGACATTCCAAAAATACTTAAGCTTAGCCCTCTCCTTTCAAGCACGAAAATTAGCAAATTAGCAATGTGAGGTTGAAACCCTTGGTCAATAGTAAGATCCATAGCTTTTTCACTGAGGATAAAAAAAAAAGCAGATGTCCTCCTGGACATCGGTAAGAAATAGAACACATAACTGACATAGTAGATATTGACAAAATGAGATGGATTGGCATGGGACATTTTGAATCAGACAAGAGGGAGAAATAGGTGATTTCCACCAACTTTTGCAGTCGGAAATTGATTAAACGTGCAACCAAAATGTATTAATAATAATGAGTGACTGGAATGCAAAAGTTGGGAATGAGGAAGAAGGATCAGTAGTCAAAAAACATGGACTTGGTGATAGGAATGAGGTTGGGGACAGAATGATAGAATTGTGTATAATCAGTGATTTACTTATTCGTTGCAAATATCTTTTATAAGAAACATAAACACAGGCTATACACATGGATTTCACCTGATGGTACACAGAGGAATCAGATAGATTACATCTGTGGAAGGAATCATTAGAGAGGTTCAATATTAACAGTGAAAACTAGGCCAGGTACTGATTGCAGAACAGATTATCAACTAGTCATATGCAGATTCAAATTAAAACTAAAGAAAGTCAAATCAAGTACACAAGAATCAAAATTTCATCTTGAGTCTATTCTCTCTGAATTTAAAAACCAACTAAGGAACAGGTTTGAGGCCTTGAACACTAATGAATGAAGACCAGATGAGCTGTGGGAAGATACCAAAATATCATCCATGAAGAATGCTTAAGGCCATTACAAAGAAGGAAAGACCAAAATTCATGTCAGAGGAGACTCTGAGTATTGCACTAGAGCGCTGAGAAGCCAAAGCAAAGGGAAGTCAAGAAGTTAAGGAGCTGAAGAAAAGATTTCTAAGGGCATCTCAGCAACACAAAGCAAAGTGTTATGAAATGTACAAGGAGCTGAAGTAGGAAAATCAAAAGGGCCCAACTTACTTGGCATTTCTTAAGCTGAGGGAACTAAACTAAAGAACAAATTCAAGCTTCGAGTTGCAATAGTTAAGGATGCTGTGGGCAGAATATTGAATGATTCAGGAAGCATTAAAAGAAGATGGAAGGAGTATATAGAGTCACTGTACCAAAAAGAATTGACTGACATGGAATTTTAAGAAACAACATATGATCAAAAGACAATGGTAATAAAGGAGAAAGTTCACACTGCTCTGAAGGATTTAGCAAAAAAAATAAGGACCCGGAAATTGATGGAATATCATTTGACATATTTCAACAAATAGATGGTACCCCAGACATGCCCACCATGTTGTGCCAAGCAATCTGGAGGACAGCTGCCTGGCCAGCTTACTGAAAGAGACACATATTTACTCCCTATTCGAAAAAAAGATGACCTGACAGAATGGGGAAATTATTAAACAATATATCACACACACAAGCAAATCCTGCTGAAGATTATCCAAAAATGACTGGAACAGTACATCGACAGAGAACTACTAGAAATATAAGCTGGTTTAGAAGAGGCCATGGCACTAGAGACATTATCACTAATGTCAGATGTCTCTTGGCAGAAAGCAAAGAGTACCAGAAGAATGTCTATCTTTGTTTCCTTGACTATACAAAGGCATTTGCCTGTGTGGATCACAACAAATTATGGGTAACCTTGAGAAGAATGTGAATCCAGAACACTTGATTGTGTTCATGCAAAACCTATACGTGAAACAGGAAGCAGTCATCACAACAGAGTAAGGAAACACTTCATGGTTCAAAATCAGGAAATGAGTGCCCTGGGGATGTGTCCTGTTTCTATACCTTTTCAGTCTATATGCAGAACAGATCAATGAAGAGTCTGGGCTTTATGAGGAGGAATGTGGCATCAGGATTGGAGGAAGACTCATCAACAACCTACATTATGCACATCACACAACCTTGCTTGTTGAAACTGAGGAGGACCTCAGGCACTTGCTGCAGATCAAGGACTGTAGCTTTCAATATGCATTGAATCTTAACATCAAGAACACAAAGATTCTCATTACTGGGCCAGTTGGCAGCACCATGATAGATGGAGAAGTGATTGAGGTTGTTAACAGTTATAGATTGCTTGGCTCCACAGTCAACATGGTTGGCACTGGCAGCCATAAAATCAAAAGATTGGGAAAATCTGCTTCCAGGGACCTCTTCAGAGTACTGAGAAGCAACTATGTCAGTCTAGAGACTAAGGTGTGGCTGATCTGGCAATGGTCTTCACAATTATTTGCCAAGCATCAGACAGCAGGACAATGACTAGAGATGACAGGAGAAGAATTGATGCCTTTGAGTTGTGATTCTGGAGAAGAGTCTTGAACATTCCAAAGACCACTAAGAAAGTAAATAGGTCTGTCTTGGAGAGGGTGAAACCAAGTTCCTCTATGGAGGCTAGGATATTGAACTTCTGTCTCACATACTTTGGGCATGTGGCCAGGAGGAACCAGTCCTTGGAGAAGGACATCATGCTCAGTAGGATGGAGGGACAGTTCAGGAGAGAATGACTCCAGACGAGATGGATTGACACAGTAACGGGATTTGAAGGTAGGTGTGTCAGTGTCAGTGAGACTGACTCAGGACAGGGCAGATTTCAGAGCAGTTGTACGTAGGGTCGTTAAGAGTCAAAGGTGACTCAATGGCACATAGCAATAACAACAAGAAGTAACTTTCTGTAGGAATAAAATGCTTTGTTGAAATATTTTGTTTTATCATGCTTCTGTTGTGACACTGAGCCATGTTTCAAACAGTGGGTTGAGTTGAGGGGTCTGTGCTTTGTGGATGTGATTGTCCTCAAACTTGCAGAAATAGAACACAGAAGTGTCTTTCATTCCATTTTTTACTCACAGCTTTTCAGTCTTGTTTGTAGCAATCACATATATAAATGTGGAAATGAAAAGACTGAATTTCTCATTTGTTTTTGCCAAGAACCCTTGGGCTTCTCACCAAAATGTGAGCAGTTTTAACCCACTAGCTATTCCATGGAAGAAAGAGGAGCCAGTCTGCTTCTATTGAGACGTACAGTGTCAGAAATACAATGGAGGGTCTCCATGAGTCAGAACCATTTTGATGGCAGTGAGATTTATTTTGGTTTTGACTCATACATATTATCATTTGAAGGTTCCTTGGTCTCATTGGTGGGGCTATCCACTCTCTTCACCTTTGAGTGGGTGTGCTTCTGAACTTCGATGGTTTCTTACTGGAACAAATCTGTCCAGTAACTTAGCAGTCCTGTACCTCGGAATTTGAAGCAGAGGTGGTTTTACCCAGCAGAAAACATTTGATAAATGTCTGGAGATATTTTTGGTTATTACACTGGTGAATTGGTACTGAAACTTAGTGGAGAGAGATCAGAGATGGTGTTAAATGCCCTACCTTAAACAGGAGAGACCCTAACAAAGAATTATCCAGTCCAAAATGCCAGTAGTGCCAAGACTGGGGATCCCTGTTCTATAGGAGCGGAGCTCTAGAGGTGCAATGAGTTATGTGTCCATAGCTTAAATCCATCAGCTGCTGCACAGGAGAAAGATGAGTAGTCTGTTCTCATTAAAGCCTCAGAAAAACCAATGGTGATTGAGTTGCCATGGTTTGGAAAAGACTCCACAGCAGTATGTTTGGTTTTAGATTTACAGGAACATTTTTAATCCAAAATATATCTGTAAAAGCACTACAGCCAAAACTCTCAAGTTTTCAGTCAACAAATAGGAACAAATCAGACTAGAAAAAAATATTTTTCAGTAAAACCCTGAGAATTCTAACGTAAATGCCACTGTTTTGTAAGAGGGTATTGTTTTTCTGATACAACTTTATCCGTTTATTTTTAAGACTGTCCCTTTGGCCTGGGTTTTCCGTTTCCATCTCCCGGTTTGAAAGCAGCCTGCTGTTTAGTGCTGATGTGTGTTATAAAGTCCTTCGCAATGAGACTGTTCTGGAACTCATGACTGACCTCTATCACAGAACGGGCCTGGCCACCTTTACCCAGGCATGTGAGAAAGAGCTGTTGGGACTCATCGTCCTTACAAGGTAAAAAGCCTGCTTTTAAATACATTTTTTTTTTCTTTTCTTCAGAGGATGAATTACTTGGGAGGCAGGATAGCTTCAGGGCATTGGCCTAAGCACAGATGTGATCAGTTCTCTCATGGAGTGAGGAGTCCTGACTGTCCTAGCTGTCTGGTCTAGCATTCAGCAGAACTCATTTAGCACACATCTGGGACTGTCCACACAGCTGATCTTGGGTCTTTTTCCATTCTCCAGCCACACCCTCCTTGTTCTAACCACCACAGTGAGTCCTTTGTTGTTTCAATGCTTCTGCATCTCTCACTCAATTTTCTAAAAACAAATTCATTCTGGAAAAAATGTGTAAGAAAAACATTGCCATTTTAACCATTATTAAATATGTCATTCAGTGCCATTAATTGCATCCACCATGCGGTACAGCCATCACTATTATTTATTATTAGTTTCTCTTTACTCTAGACAGACTCTTAGTTCTTCTTAAACATTGAGCACTCTTTCTCCCCTCCAGGAGAGCTGTGGTGGTGTAACTGGGAGGGAGTTGCACTGCTGACTCTAAGGCCTCTAACTACCTCTCTGGCAGTTTTAATCCATGAGCAGGAGAAAGATGGGCAGTCTCCTTCCATGTAGTTCACAGCCTCCCGAAACCTACTGGAGGATCAGCTCTGAGTCTGTTCTGACTGTATGACAAGAATTTTGAGGGATGATCAGGATGCTACAGATAGGGCAGGGTTCAGTTCAGCCTTTCATAGGGTTGCTCTGAGTCATATTCAACAACAACAACAGACCCTGGAAGCCACTGAATAAACCTTTCTCTCTATGTATTTTTCTGTTGTACCTATTCATGTAAGTAGGATCAGGGATACAGTGCATATTCTTTTTATGTGATTTATTTTAATTCAATATAGAGTTTTCAGGATTCATCCATGGTGCAACCTGTGTTAGAATTTCCTTTTCCTTATGGCTGAATACGATTCTAGTTTATATATAACAGGGAGCCCTGGTGGCACAGTGCTTGATGTGCCAGGTTGTTAACCAAAAGGTTGCAGTTTGAACCAACCAGATGCTCTGCAGGAGAAAGGTGGGCAGTTTGCTCCTGTGAGGATGTAAGCCTCAAAAACCCGATGGAGAGTTGTTATGAATGACAGTCAGCTTAAAGGCAGTAGGTTTAGTGGGGTATGTGTATACATTCCATCAAACATTTTAAAAGATTTTATTTTTAAAGCAGCTTTGTTGTTGTTGTTGTTGTTGTTATGTGCTGTCGAGTCATTTGTGACTCATAACGACCCTATGTGCAACAGCCCTAAACCCTGCTCTATCCTGTGCCAATCGCACTGCCTCTGACACACCCATCCCAGTTACCCCAGACACTGAATCAATCCACCTCATAGAGGGTCTTCCCCTTCTGGGCCGTCCCTCCACCCTCCCAAGCATGTTGTCCCTCTCCAAGGACTGACTGTCCCTCCTTGCCTCCAAGGAGTAGCCTGATTTAACCCTCTCCAGAATGAATCTGTTTTCTTGGCAGTCCATGGTACATTCAATACTCTTCTCCAGCACCACAGCTCAAAGGCATCAATTCTCCTTCTGTCCTCCCTAGTCATTGTCCAACTCTCTGATGCATAACAAGTGATAGCAAAGACCATGGCTTGTATCAGGCGCACCTTAGTCTCCAGAGAGACACCATTGCTCTTGAGTACTTTAGAGAGGTCCCTAACAGTAGACTTTCCCATCGCAATACGGTTTTTTTTTATTTCCTGGCTACTGGTGCCAAGAGTGTTGACCGTGGAGCCGAGCAAACTGAAGCTGTGAACAGTCTCAATCTCTTCGCCATCCATCCTGATGCTACCAGTTGGTCCAGTGGTGAGAATCTTTGTCTTCTTGACATTGAGCCTCAGTACATACTGAAGGCTGCAGTCCTTGACCCTCTGCAGCAAATGTATGAGGTCCTCCTCCGTTTCAGCAAGCAGGGTGTGTCATCTGCATAATGCAGATTGTTAATAGATCTTCCACCAATCCTGATGCACACTTCTCATAGCGCCCAGCCTCTCGGATAATCTGCTCTGCATACAGGTTGAAAAGGTACGGAGATAGGACACATCCCTGGCGTACACCCTTCCCAATTTTGAACCATGCAGTGTTACCCTGCTCTGTTCTGACGACTGCCTCTTGGTCCAAGTATAGGTTTTGCATTAGCACGATTAAATGTTCTGGGATACCCATCCTTCTCAGAGTCAGCCACAGTTTGTTATGATCCACACAGTCAAACGCCTTTGCATAATCAGTGAAACACAGATAGACATTCTTCTGGTATTCCCTGCTCTCAGCTAAGATCCATCTAACATCAGCTACAATATCCCTAGTACCACAACCCCTTCTAAACCCAACCTGGACTTCTGGCAAATCTCTGCTGATGTTCTGTTCCAGTCGTTTTTGGATAATCTTCAGTAGAATCTAGCTGGCATGTGAAATCAATGAGATTGTTCTGTAGTTTCCACACTCTGTTGATTCACCTTCTTTGGGATGGGAACAGATACAGATCTCTTCCAGTCAGTTGGCCAAGTGGTTGTTCTCCAGATTTCTTGGCACAGCTTGGTGAGAACATCCAGGGCAGCATATGTTAGCTGAAATACATCAATTGGTATACCATCTATTCCTGGGGCCTTATTTTTTTGCTATTTCCTTAAAATCAGCTTGAACTTCTTTCTTCATCACCATAGGCTCTCGCGCAAATGTTATTTCATTAAATTCTTCTGTATCTCCCAATTCCTCTTGATACAATGACTCAGTATATTCAGCTTTAGGTTTGAAAATAATTATATGGATGATACAGGGAGGAGGAGAAGCCCTGGATACTATTTTCCATTTCCTTTTTTTAAAAATTATTAATTTTAATGAAAATTTAGAGACTTTGGATTTCCATTCATTTATTGTTGCACTTTTCTCCCTGCCCACCCCTCCCCTCCAGTTCGTTCTTCTCTTAGGAAAGTAAAAGAAAAATTCTTTCACTGTTATACAATCCCTCCCACAAAGTCCACTCCACTATGCAACCTTCGTTCTGGACTCCTGTCATGACAATAATACCTAATCCTAGATACCTTTTAAACAGTTCTCTCTCTCATCTGTTTCAATGCAGTATACGTAATTTATCGCATCTTTCTCAGTCTTCTCCACAATCCCTATGTCAGTCCTGTTTTACAGTAGTGACACTATACAGTATTTGTCCTTTTGTGACTGAGATATTTTACTCAGCATAATGTCCTCCAGGGTCACCCATTTTGAATAGTATTTCATGAGTTCCTTGTTTTTCAATGCAGCCTAGTGTTCCATTGCGTGAATATATCAGAGCTTCTCTATCCATTCGTTTGTTGTTGGGGACTTAGGTTGTTTCCAACTCTTTGTTAGTGTGAACAAAGCCACAATAAACATGGGCGTTGTGTACTGTTGAATTGGATCTAACTGGCACAAGATGAGATTTCCCCTCCTTTTCCAGTGGAGCATCTGGTGGATTCAAACCACAAGCCTTAGGTATTGCAGTGCAGCTTCTTGCCACTAGGCCACCAGAGCTCCCTTTGTTACTAGCATCTTAGGTTCCTATGGTCCATTTAGGACAATATAGCCGTGGGCTGGAAGCTTCTTGTTTATGTCAATCAGGACCTCTGCATTTAAAACTTGGTTGGACCTGGAGTTAATTATGTTTGGGGAAGAACATTGTTCTATGTGGACCACCCTTGTCTGTCATTTTGTTGTACTGAGATAACTTGAAGTTACTATAAATACTGAACACTGGTGTGTCAAAAGCCGTAACAGTTATCTATTGTTGGATCCTGGGTTAAGACAGACTTGGAAGCAAGATTGGCATCCACTTCTTAAATAACAGGCCTTTGAAAACCCTATGAACACTAGAGAAATGACAATATTTATAGAACAAGCATTTTTTAAGTGTTTTATTTTATTTTTTTTTTCTTGTTGTGTATCGTCGAATTGGATCCAGCTGGTACAGGAGGAGATTACCTCTCCTTCTTCAGGAGAGCATCTGGTGGATTCTGGTGCTTTGGTATTGCAGTGCAGCTTCTTATCACCAGGCCACCAGAGCTCTCAAGAACAGGGGTTTTTGTTCATGCGGTTGCTATCAGTAGTACTTGACTCAACAGCACTTAACAACAACAACAATACAATTGACAAACCAGCATTGATACATAGTCTTAACTAAGGCCTATAGTTTATGTTAGCTGGTGGTGGTGTTCATATCTGTGGATTTTGACAAACACAGAATGTCCTATGTCCACTGTCAGGGTATACTGAAGAGTAGTTTCACTGTTCTAAAAAAATCCCTGTGATCCACCCATTCATCCCTCCTCCTTCCCCCTAAATCCCTCTGAGTGCCAGGGATTTTTACTGTCTCTGTAGTTTTGCCCTTTTCTAGAATGTCACATTGTTGGAGTCATGCAGTATGCAGCTGTGTCAGACTGGCTTCTCTCACTGAGCAGGTTTCTCCACATCTTTTTGTGGCATGGTAATTTTTTAAAAAATCTTTTTTATAGCTGAATAATATTGCATTGTACAGATGCACCATTGGCTTTTTGTTCATTTGTCATTGAAGGATATCTGGATTGCACCCATTATTTGAAACTTATGAGTATACTTTCTAGACAAGCATTCTTCTTAAGATTCTATTCCTTCTAAAGGCCATCTCAAATCTCACCATTTTGTTGTTAATGTTATTCAGTTACTAACTGAAAGGTTAGAGGTTTTAGTCTGCCCAGGAAAGTCTGGTGACCTACTTCTGAAACTTCAGCCACTGAAAATCCTTGGAAGTCAACTTGATGACAACTAGCTTACTGAATATCTGACATTAAGTGTTTGCCACTGGAGAAAGTAGGTTGCTGTTTAATGGCTTTCCTATTGGTTTTCTTGCAGTATTATGGACTTCTTAAATCGTTTAATGAGTATTCTCTTAGATAAGAGTTGATCATTAAAAATACTCAAAACAATGGCAAAAAAAAGAAGAAAAGGCTTGCTACCTAACTTGCTTATGTGCAACCAAAAACTTACAGGAATTTGCTTCCTTAGTGTGGAATTTTAGTGTCGTGGTCTCACAGGACATCCCAGTTCATTGGCCTTGTAATGTGTTTAATGCTTCTGTTCTACCTACTAATTCATTCTGTTGTGTCTTGAGGTCCTAAAAGCTTGCAAACAGCCATCCAAAGCACAGCAATTGGTCCCTCTCTTCCTGGAAAACAGAGAAAGAAGAGGAGACAAGAATTAGAGGAGGATACAGAAAGTGTGGCTTAATTACCTCCATCCACAACTGATTCCTTCTCCGAGAGACCAGAAGAACTAGAGGGCCTTCACCATTACTGGACATTTTTATCAAAGATCCCACAGAATAATCTTAATCAAAATGGGGAAAATGAAGAATAGGATTTCAGATGTTTGTGGTATTAACACTCTTGGCACCCGCAGCCAGGAGATTAGAGGACGTATTGCGATGGCCCTGTGGCTAAAGACCTCTCTAAAGTACTGACATGAAAAGATGTCAGTCTGGAAACTAAAGTGCACCTGGTACATGGTCTTTGCAATCACTTGCTATGCATCAGAGAGCTGGACAATGACTAGGGATGATAGAAGGAGAATTGATGCCTTTGAGCTGTGGTGTTGGAGAAGAGTATTGAATATACCATGGACCACTAGGAAAACAAGCAGATTTATCCTGGAGAAGGTGAAGCCTGGCTGTTCCTTGAAAGCAAGGATTCTGAAGCTTTGTCTGACATACTTTGGACATGTCGCAAGGAGGGACCAGTCCTTGAAGAAGGATGTCATTCTTGGGAGAGTGGAGGGACAGCGCAGGAGAGGAAGACCCTCGATGAGATGGATTGATTCAGTGACTGGGGTAATGGTGGTAGGTGTGTCAGAGATGGTGAGATTGGCACAGGATAGGGAAGAGTTTAGGGCTGTTGTACATAGGGACGCTATGAGTCGCAGGCGACTCGATGGCACATAACAACAGTAACAACAACAAGAACAGACTTTGTGGAGCCATAGAGGCCAGATGAACCTTCAGAACTGTTGCTTTGAAATCATCTTAAGCAAAAAATGTCCCCTGGTGTCATTTTAAAACCAAACAATAGTTTACAATAACAAGTAAAGAAGGTCTGGCTTGAGAATTGTGCTTCTCATGCTCTATCTACATGGAATCAAATTAAGAATACAAATGTAAAAGACTAGATAGAAACCTTAGCGTTTATGTTAATAGAAGAACAACAACTCAGAAAAGAAGTTTCCAAACTTGAAGAATAAGCTCATTATCACTGTCCTGTACATGTAGAGATTGTTGAATTAGTATGTTTTTAGCTGTGTGTCTTCTCAACAACTACAGAATTTTTATAAGTAATTTAACTTATATTTTTTAAAAAAAATTTTATTGTATTATTTTTACATGTTCTGTCAAATCAGATCTGACTGGTACAGGAGGAGATTGCCCCCTCCTTCTCCAGCAGAGCATCTGGTGGATTTGAACCACGTACCTCTGGGATTGTAGTGCAGTGTCTTGCCACTAGGCCACCAGAGCTCCCTTGTAACTTATATTTTAAAAAAATGATTATGTTTATGTTATTGTTATCCATCATTTCTGAAATTCTGAAGTCTTTTATTCTAACTTTTTATTGTGACTTCAGTGAAAGTTTACAGAGCAGACTGGTTGGCATTGCATTTAATTATTTATACACATTTTATCTTATGACATTGATCACAGTCCCTACATAGCAATAGCATTCTTCCCACATACTTCCTGTGGTTCTTGTTTCCATTTATCCTTCTATCCTCTCCTTTGGAGATTTATCCCTGGGCAGATACTGCCATTTTGGTCTTGTACAGTTGATAGTTCTCAGAAAAATTCTAGAATCATATTTTAATTAATAGTTAGGTGAAACAGCAGCATATCTTGCATGATTTAGAATATTTTTTAAAAATATCTCTTTCAAATCCACCAGATGCTCTGCTGGAAAAGGAGGGACAATCTCCTCCAGTACCAGTCAGATCTGATTTGATGGTACACACACACAAAATAATAAAATAAAATGTAAAAAAATATCTCTTGTATTTTTCCAGATACAATAACAAAACTTACCGCATTGATGACATTGACTGGTCTGTGAAGCCCACACACACTTTTCAGAAGCGGAATGGCACTGAAATCACCTATGTGGATTATTACAAGCAGGTAAGATCAACAGAAGCTTCTCTGAACTCTCATTTAATTATCCCTCCTCACAGAGTCACTCACTGTGTTGTCACTAAGAAGAAGAAAGCCTGGTAGTCCCACCTCGGCTTAGACTGGCTTTAACTCTTAGTTCTGATTCTTAATATATGTGCAAACTCAAACAACTCACTCAACCTCTTTATATCTCACTTTCTTCATGCAAAAATTTGGGTAGTTACAGATTTTGATTGCTGAAGAATAAGTGCTATATTATTTAAACACCAAAAATCTTAGTAAGTCAACAATAGAAATTAATCAATATTTATTTGATATATAATTGACAAGTCAAAGTAACATTTATTCTAGAGATAAAAAAGGTGTTCATAGGAAGAAGGATCATTCACAGGTATTATAGTCCACTTTATTACTGGGAATATAATTTGTGGTCAATAAGATTCCACACAGCTCTAACTTGAATACCAATTAAAATAACTACAGATATACTCTAAAACACAGCTCTAGTCTGGAGTCTATTCATTGGAATGGATACATCAAGGTAATTCTTCAAGAGTACACTGTCATGGCCTGCGGTTTCCAGAGATCAATATATTTCTGTGCTCTACAACCCAGATGCTTTACCCTTGAACTCTCCTGCCTACAATATGTGCTGAAGGCCTGGTATTTCTTAAGACCAAGGGTTACAGATGTGGACCAGCCACAGTTTCTGGAGGATAACAATCATCCTACTTCAAGTGGGGACAAAAAGGGAGCCCCAATATACAGGTCCTTCACAAAACGTTACCCTACCCTGGGACATTATACATTTACAAAAGCCCAACATCTACTAAGAAAGATTCCTAAAATGTCAAGAAAGCAGCAGACTGCCTCAATCATTATGAAAAAAGAACCCTTCTAAAAAACAGACCTAATAAATACCCCAGACACAAAGAATCAGAAGGAACATGTTAATTCAGAGTTATGTGAACAACTACAGAAGAAGGTGCAAATGATGAAAGCCATTAAGAAAGTGAATACTCCAGAGATGGGGAACCAGAAGAAATATAATAATGAGGAGCAACTTGAACAACAACAGAAGAAAATCAAAAGATGAAAGAAAGAATTGAAATTATAAATAAAGAAGTATAAGAACTTTAAAAAGCATCACAAGACAGAGAGGATACAGCCAACAGAGGACTGGAGATAATGGAAAAGCATGAGGATGCAATCTAGAATACTAAGACTGAAATGGCAAAAGTATCCAACACACTTGGGTGGGGGGTGGGGAAGTAGAACAGAAGAGATGGAGCAGAGAGAGAGTTTGGAGACAAAAGCCTCAATGGAAATATACTAGAAGAAAAATCGGAGATTAGACATAAAGAAAATGAAGAAAACATTAGAATCATGTGGGATGACATCAGAAGGAACGACATACATACAATTAGAATTCCAGAACATGAAAAGAACAAAAGAAAAAATTGTAGAAAAAGTACTAGAAGAAAACTTCCCAGCTATTATAAAGAGCAGGGAAATCCACACAGAAGCTCATTGAATACCATATTGACTAGATGCAAAAAAGAAAAATATCAAGACATATCAGAGTCAAATTCTCCAAATTTAAAGATAGAGGTAGAATACTAAAAGCATCCCAGAGTACTGAAGAGCAATGATGTCAGTCTGGTGACTAAGATGTGCCTGACAGGCAATGGTCTTTACAATCACTTGCTGTGCATCAGAGAACTGGACAATGACTAGCAATGATAGAAGGAGGATTGATGCCTTTGAGCTTTGGTGTTGGAGAAGAGTATTGAATATACCATGGACTGCTAAGAGAATGAATAGGTTCATCCTGGAGAGGGTTAAACAAGGCTGCTCCATAGAGGCACGGATTCTGAAGCTTCATTTGACATACTTTGGCTATGTTGCAAGGAGGGATCAGTCCTTAGAGAGGAACCTCATGCTTGGGAGGGTGGAAGGACAGCACAGGAGAGGAAGACCTTCAATGAGATGGATTGATTCAGTGAATGGGGTATTGGGGGTAGATGTGCCAGAGACAATAAGATTGGCACATGTTAGAGTAGGGTTTAAGGCCGTTGTACAGAGGGTCACTATGAGTCACAGACAACTTGACGCCACTTAACAACAACTAAAAACATCACGAGAAAAACAAGGAGTTACCTACAAAGGGGAAACAATTAGATTAAGTTTTGTCTTCTCATCAGAAACTATGCAAGCTAGTAGACAATGGGCTGGCATATATAGAAGGTTTAAATAAAATAATTGCCAGTGGAGGAGCCTGTACCTAGAAAACCTGTCCATCAAATATGAAGGAGAGGTCAGGTCATTCACAGAAAAGAAGGAACTTAAGCAATTTGTGAATAAAAAACTACACTATAAGAAATTTTAAGGGAAATCTTCACACAGAGACACCAAATGAAAGTGGATGGACCACAGTAACCAGAATCAACAAAAAAAGAAACAGCAAATGGCAGCGATAAAACTTGCCATGATGATAATCACATTTAATGTTAATGGACTAAATGCACCAATTAAGAGAAAAAGAGTAGCAGAATGGATTAAAAAAAAAAGCAAAACACTAAAAACCAAAACACATCAGTATGCTGTCTTCAAGAGATATCTAAGAAATGAAGAGAAAGATGGAGTAAAAAAATCAAAGGCTGTTTAAAAACTATGCCAACCAAATGGCATCCACAAAAAAAAGCAGGAGTGGCAATACTAATCTCTGAAAAAATAGACTTCAGAATGAAAACCAGTATAAAAGATCAGGAAGGGCACTACATAATGATTAAAGCACAATAAATCAAGAAGACATAACCTTGGTCAATATTTGTGTGCCAAATGATAGACCTGCAAAATATGTAAAACAACAGTTAACAAAAGAAATAGCACCAAAATAGTGGTAGGAGACATTAAAACACCACTCTCACCAAAAAATGAGTCAACTCAAAAGAAACTTAACAAAGATGCAGAAAATCTCAACTATACAATCAGCTACCTCAACACTGAGGGTGTATTCAGGGTACTGCGCCCAACTATAACTCAATTCACTTTCTTCTCACGTTCACATGGTATATTATCCAGAATTGATCACATATTAGGACATAAAGCAAGCCTCAACAAATTTAAAATCATTGAGATAATACAGAGTATTTTCTCAGACCAAAATGCCATAAAACTAGAAATTAACCACATGAGGGTAAAGCTTACAAAACTACTCAGGTAGAAGCTAAATAACACCCTGCTAGAACACGACTGGGTTATAGAAGAAATAAAGAATGACAAAAAGTTCCTTGAAACAAATGAAAATACAACATGTCAAAGCCTCTGGGAAGCAGCTAAGGCAGTCTTTAGGGGGCAGTTCATAGCAATAGGCACACATATAAAAAAAACGAAGGAAGAAGCAAAACTAATGATATAACTCAGCACCTCCATCAAAGAGGAAGAGAACAACAATCTAATCCCACAGCCTCTAGAAGAAAGGAAATTATAAGCACAGGAGCTGAAATCAATGACATGGAAAACAGGTAAACAATCGAAACCATCAATAGGACTGGAAGCTAATTTTTTTAAAAGAGTAAAAGAAACCTGACAAGCCATTGGGTAACTTGTTTTGTTGTTTGTTGTTGTTATGTGCTGTCGAGTCGTTTGCGACTCATAG